AGCAATTTTAATTGGAAACACAGCCGTCAATATTTGGTTTTTAATTCGGTTTTTATTGGGGTTTATATTGTTGTATTTTTGTATTTTTTGTATTTGTGTATAGTATCTGTTTTTTAAATATGCTGTGAACCGCCCTGAGTCCTATGGGAGAAGGGCGGTATATAAATTAAATTTGAATTGAATTGAATTGAATTCATTACAACAGCACTGAAAAGAGTGAGTCCAACCAGTCCTCAAACTTATGACCCCTGCAACTTCCCTACTGTGATCATAGTTCAGGCACTTAGCAACCAGTGTATATTTATGAGTTTGGTTTTTTACTTTTTAAATGTATGTGCTGCTCATATTGTTTGGAGATGACTTGCAGTGTCCTGGAATCACGTGAACTCCATTTGTGACCTTCCCAGCTGGTTTCCAAGAAGCAAAGTCAATGGAGGAAGCTGAATTATCTCTCTCTTTTTTTGTAATATATTTTATTGATTTTTTAAAAAACATAAATCACTTAATAATTGGTGAACAGTACGTTGTCTGGGTTACATTTGTAAAACAATAATTAACAACTGATTTCTGTAATCCATAATCCACATAATGGTTTTAGTTGATTTCCTCTGTTCCCAAAATATCCTCTTTTGCAAACATTGAGTTAATACATTTCTTATTGTTTTGATAGATAACAATTAAATATATATATATTCCCGATATTCCTAAAAATAATAATCACATCAATATAATATTTCTTTTCTATCTAATCATTCTGGTTGTCTTATCATAGATCCTGTTACAGTCCTTATTTTAGTTTGTTTCTCCCACCAAATTCTAGGTATTCTTACTGCTTAAGATTTTCTCAAAAATTAATTACATTTAAAAATTTAACTCTATTTTTCCATATGAACCATCTCACACTTTTACATTTCTTAAGGGATAAAACAATAAAAAAAGAAAGGAGAGCAAGAGTAAAGAAACATAAAAAATAACATACTACTTAAAATATATATCCCTCCTAAGCTAATATATATTTATTTCCTAAATTTCTTATTCTTTTTAACCATAATTAATACATATAGTCATCCATTTAATACATATAGTCATCTAGTCCAGACATGTCAAACTCGTGACGTCATGTGGCGGTTTTGCCATTGCCGGCAATGGGGTGGGCACGGCTTCCGGATGACACGTCTGGCCCGCAGGCCGGCAATTTGACACCACTGATCTAGTCCTTTAACTCTTATCCAAAATATTTTTTTAATCCATTATAATTTTCTTAAATTCAATCACATTTAAGTATCTGAAACATTTCCTTTATTTAAGTCATTTCAACTTTTTTATATTACTCATATCAAGAAAGAGAACAAAAAAGGGGAAAAAGCATACTATATTATTTAGGGAATTCATCCCTCTTAGAATGACATATATATTTCAAAACTTTTTTATTTCTTTAATACTTTAACCATATTCAAACAAATGTTTCTTTTTAAGTATTCTCTCTGGTAAGTCCCATCATCTATTTTCTTGGTTTCCACTTTAGTCTTTTTCCTTTGCCCGGTATCTTTCTTAATCAATGTATTTTGCTGAATCAAAAAGTTTTCCCGTATGTTCGTAAATGTTGCTGTAGATATAAAAAGTAAATTAGGTGAAGTGTCTTTATACGGGGCTTCTGCCTTTCCATGTTTGTTGAAAATATTTTTCTTTTTCTTTCTCTCCGCTTCTCTTATCATTTCCTTTCTCTTCGATGTTCCTGACATCTCTAAAGTCCATTTTGTCCAATCTGTTTTCTTGTCCTCAGATTTATATTGTAGTCTTAAGAGATAAGTTGTTTTTTCCAGTTCTTGTGATTCCCCCCCCCACTAGGATTAAATCATGTTTCCTTGTTTTGTTAAGTTCCATCTTTAAGTCTCTATTCTCAATTCTATATCCATTTGTCTGTTTTATGTGCTCCTTCTCTGCTGTTGTTTTCTGGGAATTTTTTTGTTGTAGAGTTAACTTAGAAATAGACTGATTTATATTTTCAAAGTTATTTTGGATTTCTTTGTGGTTTAAATTCATTGTTGTTTGAATTAGTTGCAGTATACTACGGTATATATCTCCTCCTGTGAAGTATTTATGTTTTCTTGATATGTACTTTCTACATGTCTCTGATCCATGATGGCCTAGAATTTGAGTTTTTCTCTTCCTTTTTCTCTGCAAATAGCTTTAGAGTCCCAATTAAATAGATATTTGTAATCCAAATAGTTAAAAAAAGATTTTTTTCCTGAAATTTATAATTCTCTATTTGTCTACAGCCCAGATTGTCTTTTTTTTTTTTGTCAGAGCTGTTCTTTGTTGTTAAAGCTTTGAAGGTCACAAACACAGATTAGCTTTTCCCAGATTTTGCCAAGTCTTATATTAAAGTCATAGCTGTCATAGTCTTCATCCACTACTAGGTGTCAGTAACTATTTGTTTTTCAATTTCCAAAATGAACAATTATCTTTAGAATGAGAGTCTTAACCATTCAAACAATTTTAGATTTATCCAGATTTAAGTTTTCAATTTCAGGTTTTATATTTATTTCACTTCCATGTATTTTGATCCTCCATAAAAAGATTAATTCGCCGCTTCCGTTAGTAAAAGGGTGGGGCAGAAATCCCCCTCCTTCCCTTTCGGAGGTATTTTGCTTCTTGGGGATCTTTTCCAGGAAATCAAATGTAGAATAGAAAAGAGAAGATCGAGTTCCTCACCCAGTTTCAAGCACGCTGTTCACAGTTGTGCTGGTTTGTGCTTTTGGACTTCAGTTGCTAATAGCTTGGGCTGGTCAATGCAATACGTCCAGCCTTTCTCCTGTCGGGTTAGAAGGCTTTCCCCAAGTTGAATGGAATGGCCGCCGCCGTTCCAGAATCGCTGGAGCACCTTTCTTTTTTCGTCGCCTCTCCGGGGTGACTTAGACCCATTTAGGGTCCCCAGGCAGGGCAAAATTACCTGCTGGGGTGCAGAGAATCCGCAAGCCCGTGACCAGTTGCTACTGCGGGGAAAAAACTGAAAGCTGGATTCTCTTAATGATCATGTGATTCACTTAACTGGGATGATTCACTTAACTTGGCAAAAAAGATTATAAAATCGGGCACGACTCACTTAGCTACCTCACTTAGTAAGGGAAGTTCTAGTCTTAATTGTAGTTGTAAGATGAGGAATACCCCCATTCACATTTCTTACTTCTGCTTCCAGTGTACAAGTTTTACTTTACTTGGCCCACTCACCAATTTACCTATCTTTTCCTAGAAGTGGAATCAGGAGACAAGTTGAACCTCTGCAGCATTGTGCAGATTCCAGAACTGTGGGTTTTTTTTATTTCCAAGGGTAGGAATAGCATATGAATGTACCCAACAACAGACCGGTTGTTTTTTTGCTTGGACCAGAATCCAGTTGTAGTATGTAGTATGTTTAGTATGTTTAGGTGTGTGTCATGCAGGGCTTTTTTTGTCATAAAACACCCAGAATGGAGTTCCGGCACCTTTTTTGGATGGAACCTTGTAGGGTAGGCAAGGCGGGTTGTATGACATGTGTGAGCTCCGGCACCTTTTTTTTATATATATATACAAAAAAAGCACTGGTGTCATGTATGTGTTTTACTTTGAGAGCAGGCAACTAAATTTCATTTTTGATGTGTGCTGTTGTGCCGGTGTAAAAAAAAATGACAATAAATGTTATCTTATCTTTTATCTTATCTTATCATTTCTCCCTCCCTCATTCACTTCCCTGCCTCTCATTTTTCTCTTAAACTGCTCTTGAAATGGAGATTTTTTTTTAAAAAAAGATGAGGGGTTTCTTCGCTAGAAACGGTAAGCCCAGCGTCTTTCATTTTTGATGTGTGCCTTTGTGCCCACAGTAAAAAAAATGACAATGTTATCTTATCTTTTATCTTATCTTATCATTTCTCCCTCCCTCATTCACTTCCCTGCCTGTCATTTTTCTCTTAAACTGCTCTTGAAACGGAGATTAAAAAAAAAAAGATGAGGGGTTTCTTCGCTCGAAACGGCAAGCCCAGCAGCGTCTTTCATTTTTGATGTGTGCCGTTGTGCCCACAGTAAAAAAAAAAAATGACAATAAAAGTTCTCTCTTATTGTATCATTTCTCCCTCCCTCATTCACTTCCCTGCCTGTCATTTTTCTCTCAAACTGCTCTTGAAACGGACATTAAAAAAAAAAAAAAAAAGATGAGAGAGGGCTTTCTCCGGTCGAAACGGCAAGCCCGGCGTCTCTCCAACTTTTCCCGTTCCAGCCCGACTTCAGCGGGCGAAGGCTGACGAGAGGAGGCTTCTTCTGGGCCGCTCAGGAGACCTAAGGCGGCGCTCTTGGCAAGAGGCGTGCTCGCCCTCACCTCCTGCCGGAGCCCGGCCCTCCAGAAACCAGCTGACAGCGGGAAACCCCGGCTGAAGGGACGGGCGGGGCTCAGCAAGGCCGGGGAAGTCTGGCCTCAAGGATGGCAGAGCGGTTTGGGGACAAATGGTTGGTGAGTAGCGGCAACGGCCGGACCTTATTCTATCCTGTCCTTTCAAGCCGACCTTTAGTTTCTCCTCAGGACAGGGGCCTTCAAAGTTGGCCCTTTTATGACTTGTGGCTGGCTGAGGAATTCTGGGAGTTGAAGTCCACAAGTCATAAAAGGGCCAACTTTGAAGGCCCCTGGCCTTAGGGTTTCTCCGAAGAGACTTCCATTTCCCGGGGGAAGCGCTTCTCCTCCTCCTCCTCCTCCCCGAACGAGCATAACCAACCACGTGCGGATCTGACGCCGGTCGCAATGCTAGCACGGGAAGTTTCCCACGACGCCAGAATCAGCAGGCGGGGCAAAGCTGACCTCGCTCGCTGGAGAAGACGAGGCGGCCCCCGGGTCTACCCCCCCGCTCCTTCCCTCCTTCCCTCCCCGGAAGACTTGGGAGCGCTTCTCCATCTCCCAACCGCGCTTTCCTTGCCCGGCCCGCAAGAGGGCCTGGAGATGAGCAAAGGCAGGCTGGCTGGAAGGCGGAAGAAGCCGCGAGAAAAGCGAGCAGAGCCTGCCTTCTTCTGTCCCTCCCTCTCTTGGGCTTTGCTGGGTTTCTAGGGACTTTCCAGCCCTGCTACCTTGCCCGCCCAGTTTCCCCTAAGTTTCTTTTGGCGGCGGCGGCGGCAGCACAAGGGTGTTGCTTGGTTTTGATTTGTAAAGATCCTCGGTCTGTCCTGTTTCTTTCGCAGAGCCGGGTTGCCGATTCCGTGATCACAAGCTAGAAAAGATCCTCCATGGATGGCGAAGGCTATCCCGCGGTGAGTCTCCCCCGTTGCCTGGAAAGTTCCCCTCCCTCCTTGTAATTCACTTGGAATTTGCGATCCGGCTGAAAATCGGGGCCTCCTTTTCTTGCCCTTGCCTTCCAAGTTCTCCGTCTCCCAAGTTTGTTACCTTTTGGGATCCTGTACTTTGGAAGGCTTAAAATGTGTTTGGTTTATGTTTATTTAGATTTGTATACCGCCCTGTCTCCCTTAAGGGGACTCAGGGCGGTGAACAGGCGATGATAAAAATCACAATAAATATCTGTTCTGAAATCAAATGAAATAAATAAAGGCCCGCTCTAAAATACCCCCTATAAAAACCTATGCTAAAAACGACAACAACAAAAGTTGTCTTGTCTGCCTTGGTTACCGGTTGGGCCCCAAGGCAAGCAAAATATGCATTATATACAGCAGTCCTTCCGTAACAAAGTGCTACCAAAAAAAAAGGAATAGCTGGGATTTGTGTTCTCTGTTGTACAACCGTCTATCAATATATAAAAACGATTGATTTCGTATGTGAAGTAAAGTGAGGCTTAAGCAATAAAAAAAAAAGAATAGCTGCTCTGTTGTACAACACCGTCTATCAATATGTAAAAATGATTGATTTCATATGTGAAGTAAGGTGAGGCTTAAGCAATAATGGGGCAAATGCTTGTTTTTTCTTTTCTTTTCCCCAAACAACTTAATTGTAGATATCATTCTCATATTTGCCTTCTTCCCGATGAGAAGTATGTCCTAAGAAACTTAAATCTAACATTCTTGTTTAGGTATTTATTGGATTTGGGGGTTGCCTGACTTTAAAGAGTGGTGCCTACAGATTTAAAGTGCATCTATTTATGTGAATTGTAGCCTTCCATCGGTACAGAGGGTTGAATGGGAGTGTTCTTTGCTGTCAGATGCTCAGGAGACCTTGCCTTAGATAAGTTGATTTTTGTTCTCAGTGTTTTCATTTAGCTGTCACTTAGTAGTGGAGACTTAATGTAGATTCCTGTTGACTGTCTACATTATTTATAATCTGTATAAACGCTATGTCTGTAATGCTTTCAATCATCTGGGAGTTAAGGCTTCCTTTGTTCTTTGATCCTTGTTTGTATGCAGTGCTTAGATGGGATAGACTATGACGATTTTCAGTTTGGGGCTCATTTGATTGAGCAGAAAGAGCTGTTCATGGAGACAGGTAAGGAACTTTTTGGTTAAGTTATGTGTCCTGAGGGATGTGGAACTATAGATAACGGAGGGAAGGAGCTAATTTTCTGCTTCCGTGTGTTTTATTAATAATGTTCCTCTTAAATTGTATTACGTTGTATTTATAAGTATTTAATATTGAGATACTCTGAATATCATCTTGTTTGTTTGTTTTAGTTGAAGGCCCATTTCTCACTATAATCGAACAGCCAAAACAGGTAAGGATTTTCTAAGGATATATATATATAGCTCATGGTTGAACTGTGGATTCACAGCGTTGAACTTTGTGTTCTCTGAGCTTATTTGTTTGCAGAAGTTTTGTTACCACACTAGGTAACAACTTCAGTGTAGTTTTGTAATGCCTGCAAACAAACGACCAAGCTCAGAGAGCACCAAGGACTCCATCTATAGTCTATTATAGGCAAACTTTTTCTGATTTTTCTGGGGTTTTTTTCTGATGGAATGGCTTTGCTTGAATTATCATTTTTGGCAGCGAGGTTTCCGGTTCCGTTATGGCTGTGAAGGGCCCTCGCATGGTGGGCTACCTGGAGCATCTAGTGAAAAGGGACACAAGACTTATCCCACTGTCAAGGTGAGTAACACGTTCATTTATTTATCATGTTTTATGAAAAAAACTTTTTTAAAAAAAGAGTACTCTCCATTGCCTTTTCTGTCTTTAGAAAAAGTTAGGTTTTTTTTTTAGTAGTCTTATTATTTGGTACATATTTTGGTACATATTTTGTTTGGACTTTCTAATTAATTAAGATACAGCACAGAAGGTCAGTAAAGTAATTATTTTTGATACACATTGCAATACTTTTAAGTTTTCATAACGTTATTCCTGGTTGTTATAGATAACTGACAGAAGATAACTGACTGAAGTAAATTCATTTATGTTTGCAGTGTTACTCTTGGGCCTTAAATCTATTGCTTCCTGTTGGCTTTTGATTCCAGAGCAACTGAACATTTGTTCTGTAGGAATAGAAAATTTTGATTTGGCTTAATTCTACACTAGGCTGGTCTTAATACAATAGATAGAGAGTGCCCAGGAATAAAAAGGAAGAGCATGATGTGAAACCGTGATTATCATGGTATATTTTATCCTTAGGGTTAAAGGGTACAATTCTTTTCGAACCTGTATTTTGCATTCAGAACTCTAAGTGAATTATTTAGTTAATTAATCTTGGTTCCTTTGGTATGGGATCTAAATATCAAAATAATAAGATTAGGTTCAAATAGAATAGAAACTTTATTGCCATTTTAAATGTACACTAAGTGTACATACATTAAAATGAAATTTCATTGCATTCAGCTCTCTTTTTTTAATTTTTAAAATTAAATATTTTTTAAAATCAAGTTAGGATCAATTTTTTAAAAACTTGTATTTCAATTTGTGTTGTTTGCTTCAGAAAATTCCTCAAAGCCAGCTGGGTGGAGTGCAACAAGAATTAAATATAAAAGAAGTTTAAATTTTCTGGCTAAAACATAATTGTATATTAGATTAAACTAAAATCAAGAAAATGTACTATGCGAATGTATGGAATTAACCAGGTTGAAAAGACCACCTGCTTCTATCCATAAGTAATTTCATTTTCACCTAATGCGAGCAGATAAGCAAGCCAGATAAACTAAGATATTTATTATATTCAAACAATTTATCAGTAAAAATAGCTTTTTTGAGGTACACTAAATCAGACTTTTGAAATTAGTTATTTCATTGTGCTATTTTTATCTCGTTGCTTACTTCTTTCATAACATGAACTACCCAGAGTTACTTTGGGTACTTATTTAATAAATAAAACAAAAATAATAAAATATTATGGCTTACTAAGTTAAGATTCATTGCATGTTTGCTGTAGGCAAATATGATCAATAGTGTCATATGGTCTGAATTGCTATTAGTGGCTATGGATATAAACAATGTTCTAAAACTGACTTTTGTTTCTAGCTATTTAAAGGCTATTGTAGTCTGTGTTAATGAAACTTGATAGGCTTGTATCATGAGCGTAAATTAATTCAGTATAAATTATATGTGGCAATATTTCTTTTTAAAGTTCCACAGGCATTTGAAGAATGAGTGTTTCATAGAAAGGTGGTGTTGATGTCATTTTGTATAATTTTTATTGGCAGATCTCTAATTACACTGGACTGGCTAGGATAGAGGTGGACTTGGTGACACACACTGATCCTCCACAAGTGCATGCTCACAGTCTTGTGGGAAAACAGTGTAATGAAGCTGGCAACTGCATTGTGATGGTGGGCCCAAAGGACATGACTGCCCAGTATGTATGACTTACTGATGAAGGAATGATGGTGGGGTTCAAAAGGCAAGACCTATTTCATGATAGCATTTTGTTTCATTTGTTAGATTGGATGGGTTGCAGTATCTTATTTAATGAAAGCTGAAGCTTTCTGCCATTTGGAAAATTCAGCAGAAATATATAATTCCATTGTGGGAAACATTGTGTTTTCTTTGTATGAAAAGGAGTGGTGGCTATAGAGCAGGCATGTCAAACTCGCGACGTCACGTGACGTCGCACGACGTATCGCGACTTTTCCCTCATTGCCAGCAATAGGATGGGTGCAGTTTCGGCGTGATGCATCCGGCCCGCGGGCCAACAGTTTGACACGCCTGCTATAGAGAAACCATACAGTGTACAAGTGTATTGAAACGTGTTTTCAGAGGACAAGCTTTAATACTTGGGTATTCTCTCTGTAAAGCTTCACTCACACCATCCATTCAGATTGAGCAAGTAGTTGGCTAGATGCTACAGATAGTCCTCATTTAGTGACTGCCTTGTTTAATTTGCAATTACAGTAGTAATAAAAAGTCACTTTACAACAAGTCCTTACATTTACGACTGTCAAGCTCCGGCTGAAAAGCCCAGCTAAGAAAAACACCAGAGCCATTGTGTCCTCTAATGTAAACTTTATTAAGCAATATCATACAGGTAGGATTAAAGTGAAAGCTAGCTCTGAAGCTGGGAAGCAGTTAATGAAAAGAATGAATCTTCTCCTCCCCTTACTGACAGTTCAGGTCACATTGTCCAATACATCTCCCAGTAGTTATTATGAGAAGAAACTTTAGTTCGCCAAAATAACTCTTCGGGTCTCACGATGATAATCCAAAGTCCCGTTCCCCCCCCCCCAGATCTTCACCCCATCTCCCTCTTCTCTCTGTAGGCAAGCTAGAAGCACACAGCGGCCCTAAGGGCAGTAGGTTTCAGCTTGATACAGGTGTATAAAGCAAAGGAAAGCTGAAGTAAGATCATAAGCATAATTGTATTTTTACTTAGTGACCACTTTGCTTAATGACCATATTGCTAAATTGTAGTCACTAAATGAGGATTATCTGTAGTATTATGGAAGGTTTCTAAATAAAAAAATTAAATTATATGTGTGTATATGTGTATGTGTGTGTATATATACACACACACACAGATACATACATACATACATACATATATATACATACATACATACATATGTATGTAATTTAGTTTTAGATACTTAAGAATAGAATGCAGGGAAAAAAGGAGACAGAAAGAGATTTACAAACTGTAAAAATTAGCTAGGAATTTACAGAATGTTAAGGGGAAAAAACACATTTATTGTATTAGCAACATTAAAACAATGTATTAAATAGCCTTATAAGAATTTGGCACTTTAAAAATATTGACTACTGTTGAATAAGAGATTAGTATATTATGAGTGAAAATAACGTACTATATAAATAATAATTTGAGATTTAGCTTACTAATAAAAACAGCCGCAACAATAACAATAATCAAATAATAAGAATTAAGTTCTAGCTAATCTGAAACTGCCATTAATTTTATGACCAGTGAGACAGAACATTTTAAAATCTTACTTTAAGAGAAACCTAAATTTTGGATGTTGCAGAATTTTATGTCCTGAATTATATTCTACAAGCAGTTTCCAAATAAAGAGTATAAGATTAATTTTTTTAAATATGAAGATATTTTTTTGATGTTTATGTTCGGTGCCAGTTTTGATGGTCTAACACAGGGGTGTTAAACTGCCGGCCCACGGGCCGGACGTGTCACGCAGAAACCGCACCCACCCCATTGCCAGCAATGGCAAAACAGTCCCGATACGTTGCGCGACGTCACATGACGTCGCGAGTTTGACATGTCTGGTCTAACAGTTTTTTGCTATAGTTTCTAGTTCTAATCCTTTTGGCCATCTGTAGGTGGCTTTTGATAACATATTATAAATCAGTCAAAATTCCAATAGTTTAAGCAAACATCAGAAAATCCACATTTTTGTAATGGATATTATGCAAATCATTGGCATGTTTGCTTGTTGGCGGTTAGCAAGAGAAATGCAAATGTGTGATATTAAAAGTTCATATATACATTAATATGTATTAACTGGCGGTGGCTAATTAACATGGAAAATCTGCATTATGGTAAATGAAGATATCAGCTTGTTTACAACTGCTGTTAAAACATCATTAAGAAGCAAATAAAGGAACCAGTATAAAGTTTGATAACTGTAACTAATAAAAAAAAACAACAGCCCAGAGTTGAAAAAGATGCGGTAAAAGGCAACTACATATCAATTTATTCCTGTTCCAATTTTCAAGCCCCTGTTCATTCACTGAAATTAAATTAAGGGGAGCTTTATGATCAGTAAAAGTAAGCCCATCATTTGCATAGACCAGAGTTAAATTTGGTATCACCTGCATGGTTTTAAAAAGATGGAGCATTGGGCTTTACTGCTCCCCTATCAGTTCTTTTTTAGCTCCCTAGTGCCTTTGGGTTGCTGCTATGTGATATACATGTTTCCCTCAATAATGATACGAAAAACTCTATTTTTTAAATGTTTGGAGATTTGCCTTGTTTTTTAACATGCTCATCTCAGTACCAGTGTCTAGAATTTGAGCGGGTTGCTGCCCACCTAGCCATTGTGATTGTTGCGGCAGTGCAGTAGAGGATAATTTGTCTTTTATCAGATTTAATAACCTAGGTGTGCTCCATGTGACTAAGAAAAACATGATGGAAGTCATCAAGGAGAAACTGCAGAAGCAAAAGATGCGAAACAGAGCACAACCTCTGACAGGTAAGTTTGAGCAGAAAACAAAAGCTTGGGGAAGACGGATTCTAGATAATGGTCCATGGTCTTCTCTTTTACCCTCATAGAACGGGTGCTTGTGGGCAGTAGGCAGTAATGGTTAAACTGAGACAATCTATGCATTATTTATTCTACGCTTGTTAGCAGTCCTCTATTGCAGGGCTTTTCAACCAGTGGTACGGGTAGCACCTGGGGTACATTGGCACCTGGCAGGTGGTACGCGACCATCCTAGAAAAGTGGTAGTGGGCGAGGGGAATGAGCTGAACCGGTGGCAGCACTGCACAAGCCTGAGCGAGAGATGGCTGGGGCTGTAGGGCTGTCAGGGCTCAGCAGAAGTGCCAGGATCAGCGCCAGGCTCCAGCTGGAGCTCGGCGCTGATCCTGGTGCTTCTGCTGAGCCTTGAAGAAGCACCAATCAGCTGGAATGTTGCCTTATCTCCAGGGTCTTGTGATTTACATTCAGATGCTTGGCAACTGATTCATATTTATGACGGTCACAGTGTCCCAGGGTCATGTGAAGTGATCAAAATCTGCTGCAACCACCCAGCAGACGGGGGGGGGAATAAAAACCAAATCCCCCCCCCGCTGCCAATCCCCAACAGAAATGTTCAAACAATGAAAACCTCGGACAGGAGGAAGAGCTCCGCTGGGTGGGCAGGCAGGTGTCTTGCTCGGCTGTCCCTTGGGGGGCACTTTTTCAGTGCCATTGTAACTTTGAACAGTCACTAAGCGAACTGTTGTAAGTCGAGGACTACTTGTACTTCATCACTTTTTTCCTTTTTTGGGGGGGGTCTTCAAGTTTTTGACACCTTGCTAGGCGACTGGTGGTACTCGGATATTGCCGTATCCTAAAAGTGGGTGAAAAGGTTGAAAAGCCCTGGTCTATTGGACCTTGCATGGAATAAAAACATTGATCATAAAACATTTTTCTTGTCAGGTATTCTTCACAAGTTACCTCTCCCTCTCCCTCTCTCTCCCTCCCTCCCTCCCTCCCTCCCCCCTCTCCCTCCCTCCCTTCTTNCCCTCTCTCTCTCTCTCCCTCTCTCTCTCTCTCTCTCTCTCTCTCTCTCTCTCACACACACACACACACACACACACACACACACACACACACACACAGAGAATTCTACAGGGTGATCTGATCATTATGATTTTACCAAGGAAAATGTTTACACTTGTTCAAAGTGAAACTGGTTGTTCCTTGGGCAGAAATGAGAGATCAATTGCTTTACCAATATGAGTAATACATAACATTTGAGAGAAGGTTATTTAACTCAGGAAGTTCCAAGTTGCTGCTTCTGAATTGTTCTGAACTGCTTCCATGTGGGTTTGAAACCTGGGGGTACCTGACAGAGCCAGTGCAAAAAAAGGAAAAATGGAAATGGAAAATTTAGCTAAGGAAAAACCATGAAAGGAAAAGACAGAACAGCACTGAAAATAAAAAAATAAAATAGCATATGAAAGCTCAACCTCAGCAACTCCTTTTAGTGCCCAAACTGTTATAAAGGAGTGGCATTGTTGAGGTTTTGTAAAGTGCATTTTTCTTTTCTTTCATAAGTAAAACTGTATTTCAGAGCAAAGCATTTCTTGTGGCCTTAGTTTCTCTTTAGTTGGGAATCTTACAACAACCTTATTTTGCATGAGGGTTGAAAAAGTTATGTAAGCTCTTTGAATGCTTAAAAAACTGATTTTGACTTTTTATTAGGAGGTGGAATCTACTTAAGATTGTAGTAGGTAATAATAACAATAACAATTAACAATAATAATAGCTCAGTCAGCCATATGTTCAGACTGGATTTGGCATTTTTGTCTACCTATCGAGTCCTTACTAAGGACTTGGAATAGGCAGATATGGATGTTGGATGGTGTTACAGATATCATTGCAGGATGGAAAGTGTCCCCAGTAAAGCCACCTTTTGTAATTGATTGATGGTGAATTTGTCAATGCCAGTGGTGTTCAAATGGTGCTCCAGTTGTTTTGGGATTGCATCCAAGGTGTCTATTACTATTGGTACTACCCTTGCTTGCCTTTGACACAGTCGTTCTATTTCTATTTGTAAGTCTTTGTATTTTGTTATCTTCTTCAGTTCTTTCTCTTCTCTTCTGCTGTCTCCAAGTAGTGCCATGCCCAGACTTTTTTTGTCTTTCTTACGACAGTTGTTAAGTCCAGGGTGTTATGTGGCAGGTGCCTGTCTGTTTGAATTCTAAAGTCCCAGAGCAATTTAACTTCTTCATTTTCTATGACTTTCTCTATTTTATGGTCCCACCAGTTCTTGCTTGCAGGCAAATGATATTTCTTGCAGATCTTCCAATGCACTATTGTTGCTACTTTGTCATAACGCTGCTTGTAGTTAGTGTGGGCTATCTTCTTGCAGCAGCTTACCAGGTGGTCCACTGTTGCATCAGCTTCTTTGAATAGGCGGCACTTACTGTCTGTTCCTGTCTTCTCAATTCTAGCTTTGTATGCATTTGTCCTTAAGGCTTGGTCTTGTGCAGCCAGAATTAGTCCCTCGGTCTCCTTCTTCAGCTTTCCTGCTCTTAGCCATTGCCGGGTCTTGTTATTATCTGCTTTCCCTGATAGTTTGTTAATGTACTGGCCATGTAGTGCTTTGTCTTCCCATGCCTTCATTCTGTTCTACATTTGTCTTTCTTGTAGGCCAGTTTCGTCTCTCCAGTAGTCAGTAAGCCTTCCTGGCATACTAACTTCAGGGCATCTTCTTCACTGTCATTCAGACATTCTTCCAAAGCCCTTTTTCTTCTTCAACCATCTGATGTACTTGCAACAATCCACACCCATCTATTTGCCTTGGTAGATAGAATCTGTCAATGTCACTTCGTGGATGAAGGGCATGATTCATTGTCATTATTTTTCTGGTCTTCCTATCCATTGCTTTTAGTTCTGCTTGAGTCCAGTCCACTATTCCAGCTGTGTATCTAATGACTGGAATTGCCCAGGTGTGGTTTTGATGATATATCCTCCATTGAGTTTGGACTTTAAGAACTTTTTCATTCTCTTGATGTATTCACCTCTAATCTTTTTCTTGACTTCAGTGTGCTTGATGTTGTCAACTTGAAGGGATACCCAGGTATTTGTAGTAATCATCCTCATCCCGACTCTTAATGTTATTTTCATGGGGCATCTTGATTCCTTCAGTTTTCACTATTTTGCCTTGTTTAATATTGAGTGTGGCATGTTTGTCCAATCTAAACACTATTGCAATATATTGGCTATATATACAAATATTGTTGAGCAACGATTCTGTTTCAGATGGTGTTTTTCCATACAGCTTCAGATCATCCATGTAAAGGAGATGGGATAATCTGGGAGATATTTTTGATGTTTGATAGCCACGGCCTGAGTTATTCAGTATGGTTGACAGGAAACAGTGCAGTGACAAATAGTAGTGGTGATACTGAATCACCTTGAAATATTCCTCTCTTGATATTAACCTCTCCCAGTCTCTCACCATTGACCCACAACTGTGTCTTCCATTCTGCCCTCGATCTTTGCACCAAGTTTCTGATGTTTCTACTGACCTCTGTTATTTCTAGACACTTGATTATCCAGTCATGTGGCAGAGAATTTAATGCTTTTTTGTAGTCAATCCATGCTACATTTAGGTTGGTCTTCCTTCTCTTGCAGTTTTCCAAAATCATCTTGTCAATGAGGAATTGATCTTTTGTTCCTTGGCTATTGGGGCAGTTTCCTTTCTGCTCAGGTGGAAAGAGATTGTTTTCAACTAGATGCTGTTAGACTGCATTAGCTATCACACCAGTTAGCAATTTGAAAATTGTTGGTAAGCAAGTAATTGGCTTGTAGTTGCCTGGTGCTGCCCCTTTTGCTGGATTTTTCATTATCGGGTACGTTAGCCACTCTTCAATTTCATCTCCTTGTAGTATGTTGTTAAACTGTTGGGCAACGAATGAGTATAGACCAGTTAGATGTTTCAACCAAAAACCATGCAGCTCGTCTTCACCTAGTGCTGACCAATTCTTGATCTTCCTTGCTCTTTTCTCTACCATTTCAGCTGTTGTTACTAGTTCTTTCATTTTAACTTATTTTTTATTCTTATCCACCTCTTAGCCAAGCTGCGTCCTTGTTGTATTTCTTTGGGTTATTCGATATCTGTGCCCAGAACTGCACTGTTTCTTCCTTCTCAGGTACTGACTGATTCACTGCAGTTTCTCCATTGATGGATTGGTAGAAACGTTTCTGATTGGATTGAAATGGCTCCAAGACGGATATTAAACGTTAAGCTCGAAGCATAAACGACTAGAAGAACCGATATCGACAATAAACGACGAAATAATAAAGGTCACGAAGGAACTAGAAAGAACAAAGATTCACCATAAAGAACTAATCTATAAGAAACCAGAAGAACAAGAAGTCAAAGAAAAGCAAATAGACAAGATCGAACGAACTAAGACTACAACCTTATTGCTGATCTTATTTTCCAGTCTAATCTTTCATTTTTGTGGGACACTGTTTGGTTTTTTCTTCTTCTTTGCATCCTAAGTATTCAGTTATAACTGCAGCTGTGCTGTACATTAGTTGGTTTGTTTCTTGCAATAAGTTGGTGCTTATACTTCATATTGCAGTATTTGCATCTTTTAATGCTTGTGCTAGTTGTTTCTTTGGAATAAGCGTCAATGCAGGCAGCCTTATTCTGATGTTTTTGTGCTGTGATAGATGCTCAGTTATTCTTTGTTTCAATTCTTTTACTTCTTTAGTTAGAGGGCTTTGTTCTTCCTGAGGCAGAGGAGAGGGTGCCTGTTTCCCATGAAAACAGTTGTATATCTCTACTGGATTCCTCTACTGCCAACTCCCCCTGATTTGCCTCTACGTTCTGAGTTGTTTCTGTCAAGGCTTTGATTTCTTTGCCCTGGGTGAACCTTTGCAGTTCTTCTAATTCTGCCTCTGTGAATCCTTTATTTCGTCTTATAAATTGACATTGATCTGCTAGGCCCTGTTCTGTTATTTCTGATTCTGGTTGTTGCTCTTTCCAGAACTGGTGCATTCATTTCAAATATCCTCTTCTTGTTGGACTTGATCTGTAATAACAGATCATTGTTCTTTGTTTTCAATCACTGTATATTTGCAACAAAGTACGTATAGTCAAGGCCATGGTTTTCCCAGTTGCAATGTATGGCTGTGAAAGTTGGACCATAAGAAAGGCTGAGAATTGAGGCCTTTGAATTATGGTGCTGGAGAAGACTCCTGCGAGTCCCCTGGACTGCAAGGCAATCAAACCGGTCAGTCCTAGAGGAGAACAACCCCGACTGCTCTTTAGAAGGCCAGATCCTGAAGTTGAAACTCAAATACTTTGGCCACCTAATGAGAAGGAAGGACTCAATGGAGAAGAGCCTAATGCTGGGAAAGATTGAGGGCAATAGAATAAGGGGACAACAGAGAATGAGGGGGTTGGATGGAGTCACTTGAAGCAGTAGGCGTGAGCTTAAACGGACTCCAGAAAATGGTAGAGGACAGGAAGGCCTGGAGGAACGTTGTCCATGGGGTCGCGATGAATCAGACACGACTTCGCAATTAACAACAACAATATTTGCAATGGGTAAACACCTTTTCTTCCAGTAGTTCTGCAGCTGGTTGCTCAGCCAACAGTCCTGAGTCCTGTAGCCCATTTTTTACCAGATATCTAGGAACTCCAACATCTGTTGTGGACCTTGTTAACCTGGGTGACATCCGAGCTGGTATGGATGGCTTTTTGAAATTTACATATTTTTTATGGGAGAGACACTCTTTGTCTGACTCCTCTGATGAGACCTGTCCAGTATGGTTGAACCTCTGGCATAGCTCTCATCTTCCTCAGAGCACACAAGCCCCACAACCACGTCAAGGTAGTGTCTCACTGGGGGATGATGGTGAAGATGATTCCAGCGTAATCCTAGGTTTCATTAACAGAATCACGATCCCATGAACTATTAGTACCCCTTAATAAAGCCTTAGTAAGATCACGCTTAGAATACTGCATCCAGTTTTGGTCACCCTATTATAAAAAAGATGTAAAGACTTTGGAAAGAGTGCACAAAAGAGCAGTAAAGATAATTAGGGGACTGGAGGCTAAAATGTGTAAAGATTAGTTGCAGGAATTGGATTTATCTAGTCTAGTGAAAAGGATTGAGGTGACATGATAATAGTGTTCCAATATTTGAGGGGCTGCCACAAAGAAGAGGGAGTCAAGCTATTTTCCAAGCACCAGAAGGCAAGACAAGAAACAATGGATGGAAACTAATCAAGGAGAGAAGCAACCTAGAACTAAAGAGAAATCTCCTAACAGTGAGAACAATTAACCAGTGAAATTATTTGCCTTCAGAAGTTGTGCGTGCTCCATCACTGGAGGACTTTAAGAAAAGACTGGACAGCCACTTGTCTGGAATGGTATATGATCTCCTGCTTGAACAGGAGTGTTGGACTAAAAGATCTTTTCCAACTCTCTTTTTCTCTTAATTTATTTCAGTCTGAATTAATATAACCTACTACAATTTCAAGTAGATTGTAAATAGAACATAGCAAACTATTTCCGCTCACTATCGGTTCTACATTACATAGGGAAGAAGTATGAATATTAGAATTTGCTAGTTGTTGAAAAATGTTCATCTGAGATTGGGAGAGTGGGAACAATTAATTAAGGTTAATTTTTTAAAAAATACTGTATTCAGATGTATATTTTATGTGTGATTTTAGTATCCAGAGGAAATTTTGGTTTGATGTGGATGCTGGACTGTTTGTAAGATTTATAACTTTGCATCTATTTTAGCAGAATCTGAACAAGAATTGATTGATCAAGAGGCAAAAGAGTTGAAGAAGACAATGGATCTCAGCATTGTTCGTTTACGCTTCAATGCCTATCTTCGCGATAGTAGTGGAAACTTCACTTTAGCATTAAATTCTGTTATTTCCGACCCCATTCATGATAGCAGTAAGTTTTACTTTTGATCCATAGCTGTATTTGACATGGTTTAGGGGTACCTACCATAATATATTTCTGATTTGGATTTGGCAGGATTGCACACGTATATTTGTGAGGACTTTGCAGTATTCATATTTTTACAGCCTTATTGTAAGGCTGCTGTAAAATGTACACAAAAAAGCTAGATCTTGCTATATACCCAGATTGTGATGATTTTTCTATCTGCCATGAAGATAAAAAGCCTAATATTAGTACATATTTTTGAGAGGAGTTTGCTAGATTTCTTACATGGCTCTGATCCTTTGTGGGTCCAATGAATATTGTATTTTCTCCTCTGTCATGCCCAGCTAGAATGGGGAGCTCATGGATTAAATGCAGTCCCATTTTTGTGATCTCTGGAGACTCCCATGTCATATTTCCACAATTTAGCAGCAAAACAATTCAGTGTTTGGTTTTTTTTGACAATTTAACAATAACATTAGCACTTAGACTTATATACTACTTTACCATGCTTTACAGCTCTCTCTAAGTGGTTTACAGAGTTAGCGTATTGCCTCCAACAATCTGGGTTCTCATTTTATCAACCTTGGAAGGGTGGAAGGCTGAGTCAACCTTGAGCTGGTGAGAACTGAGCTGCTGGCAGCCAGCAAAATTAGCCTGCAATACTGCATTCTAAGCATCGCCTTTAAGATATTTAAGATATAAAATGCATATAACTTGCACAAGCTATTTTCATAGCCCTCAGATTCCTAAAAATTTTCAATCTTATCCAGTGGATTTCACTGATAGGAATCTTAGAGCTTTCAAATGGTAGTACAGGTAGTCCCCGGTTAACTGTAATAATTGAGACTGGGAATTCCATCGCTAAGTGACAGTTGTAAAGTGCAATGTGAAGCAATAGGATAGGAAAAAAGAGGACGCCTTGTAGTTCCTAGAAGGAAATTAAAACTGTGTGACTTCCCTTTTTCTTTTTGTTAAATGAAGTATATTTGCAAGGCGAATCATTTTGCATCTGTTTGTTTGAGTAGCCATGTCTGCTGATAGAAATCTGAGAGGTCCATGCATGGAATTAGTATATTCCAGGGGTAGACAACCTTGGCTCTTTTATGACTGGTGGACTTCAACTCCCAGAATTCCTGAGCCAGCCATGCTGAGGGGAAAGGGAGAGGTTTCCAAGCTGAGCCATGCTGGCTCAGGAATCCTGGGAGTTGAAGTCCACAAGTCATAAAAGAGCCAAGGTGGCCTACCCCTAGACTATATCCCCAGAGATAAAAAGTTCTTGATTTGTTCCATCTCTTGAGGAAAATTTGTACTCTGGAAAATAAATAATACCATAAATGATGGCTTGTGACCATAAGACTTTTTCTTTCAGGCCTTAAATGACAAGTTCCTTTATACTGATCTTCATATCAGAGTTTTGACAGAAGAGTTTCATATTTTTTTTAATATTTTATTTTTAAATTTTTTGGAATTGGTAGGATTTTCTTGCTTCCTTCTGAATGTGTCCAGAGCCTACCACAAAAATAGCAATGAAATAGCAATCTTTCTGCTCGTGTTCTACATTCTTCACTGTTTATTAAAATTAGCCAAAATTATGATCCTTATAATGACTCCATCGTCTAGTACATTTTCATAGTTTTACAATTGTTCCAGAAACAATTTTATATATCTGTGAGGGGTTTTTTTTATTCTACAGAATCTCCTGGAGCTTCCAATTTAAAAATATCTCGGATGGATAAGACGGCAGGCTCAGTGCGAGGTGGAGATGAAGTATATTTGCTGTGTGATAAAGTCCAGAAAGGTAAGTACCATATCTAATCCTGCTTATTTTTTTGGCATTGTACTTTCACTTCTGAAATAGATACAAAAATGTTATTTTTTTTTAGAAACATGCATTTGATTTCCTTTGTCCTTGAGAATGAAATCCATTTCCAAAATGTATTAGGCTCATTTTTTTGCCCTCATCTAGTCTACCACTACATTTGTCTTAACTTGCATGATGTGGAGAAACACTACTAGAAGTCATCAATTACCTGATAGCATCTCACCCAATATCTCCCTAATTTTTACGATTGACAATATATGATAAATTTAGCAAGCGCAAAAGAATTGAGTCCTTTGAACTATGGTGCTGGAGAAGACTCCTGCGAGTCTCCTGGACTGCAAGGCGATCAAATCGGTCAGTCCTAGAGGAGATCAACCCTGCTGCTCTTTAGAAGACCAGATCCTGAAGTTGAAACTCAAGGACTTTGGCCACCTAATGAGAAGGAAGGACTCACTGGAGAAGAGCAAAATGCTGGGAAAGACTGAGGGCAATAGAAGAAGGGGATGACAGAGAATGAGGGGGCTGGATGGAGTCACTGAAGCAGTAGGCATGAGCTTAAATGGACTCCAGAAGATGGTAGAGGACAGGAAGGCCTGGAGTTGTCCATGGGGTCGCGATGGGTCGGACACGACTTTGCAACTAACAACAACAAGTAATATAATAGTGAATGGGACAAAGTGGGGTTGCGATGAGTATTAATAGTCCAATGTTACCATTGTTTTGCCTCCTCTGTTAGATGATATTGAGGTGCGTTTTTATGAAGATGATGAGAATGGTTGGCAGGCCTTTGGAGATTTCTCCCCCACAGATGTGCATAAACAGGTATTGATTGATTGAATCATGAGAGCCAGTTTGAATGGTAGACTAAAGACTTATAAAAAATCTGTAGTTTTGATTCTGTAGAGTGACTTTTTGTATTGCAGTAGATCAAAGACATTTTGTTTTGTTACATTGTAATCCAGTATTCAGAATTTTCTGGATGGATTACACAATTTCTGAACACATTAAAACTACTAAAATAATAAACATTACAATTACTAAATAATACACTTGATAAGATCGAGAAAAATAAAATGCAATTTATTAATAGTATACGAGCAAATAAATGTACTATCATAACTGAAAAGCTTTAGAATATCTTGTAGAAATAAAACACTGAAACCTAGTGCTGAAAGGACATCAGTGAGGGCATCTAGTTATATTTATAGGGAATATTTTTAGTAAAGAGGACCCTTAATTAAGATGACTTTCTCCTCTACATTATCCACTTAATTTGATTTGATGGGATCATTTGAGGTGGAGAATTATTTGAAGATAAACGGAACATGTAGGATGCACTAAACCCATGTTTTGTCTCCTTGCAGTACGCCATTGTGTTCCGTACTCCGCCTTATCACAAGACAAAAATAGATCGTCCAGTCACTGTGTTCCTTCAGTTGAAGCGCAAGCGAGGGGGTGACGTGAGTGACTCCAAGCAGTTTACATACTACCCAGTGGTAGAAGGTACAGGGCACTCCATGTGATGTGCTACTTTTGGTGTTCAACAGTGTGGCAGGGCACATCATTGATTATTTTTCTATATCTTTGGCTGCAGATAAGGAAGAAGTGGAAAGGAAGCGTAAGAAGATCTTACCTCAGTTCCCCCAGCACTTTGGTGGCGGTGCGCCTATGGGAGGCGCTGGTGGTGGAGGTAGTGGATTTGGTTCTAGTGGAGGTAAATGTTAATACTTGAAGGCATTTTCTGGGTTTTAATTTTTTAATAGTCTGTTGCAATTTAACTTGAAATCAAAGGCTTTGTATTGTAGAAGCAAACAAAGCTATAACTGGTAGCCAGCAGGGGTTTGTTAAAAACAGATCATGCCAAACCAATCTTATTTCATTCTTTGATAAAGTGACCAAATTAGTAGACCAGCTAAATGCTGTGGACATAGTATACTTACATTTTAGTAAGGCATTTGACAAAGTAGACCACAATCTACTGCTTGGTAAGCTAGAAAAAGATGGAATAGACAACATCATCACCAGATGGATTTGTAGCTGGCTGACAAACCGTACTCAACAAGTAGTCCTCAGTAGTACTACATCCACATGGAGAGAAGTAAGCAGTTGGGTACCACAAGGCTCTGTCTTTGGCCCAGTACTGTTCAATATCTTCATCAATGACTAATAATAATAATAAAGTTAGGTGCTATGCCTATATTCCACCACTTATGTCATTAGGTATCCATCTTCCAACACTTAAAATGAAGTTTAGTTCTTAAATTTCACCCAATCTTTTTTAAAAAAAAGTTTTAAGAGTTCTCTAAATTGCCAAGTTTGTCAAAGCTGTGTCTTTATATTATTTCCAATTTAATGTTGTATTCTTCTGTTTCTGTCCCCTAAAATAAGGATTAAATCGCTGCTTTCGTTTCTCTGGAGGGAAGGGGCAAAAATTCCCTTCCCTCTCGTGTCTGGGGTTTTTTTGCTTTTGGGGAATTTATCTTTTCCAGGGACTCAGTAGCCAAATAGTAGAAAAAGGAAAAAAAGCCTTACCCGGTTCCAAACACGATGCCCACAATTTGCTAAATAATAATTTCTTTCTTCGATTGTCAGTAGCTTCTGACTTATCACATAAATGCAGCTCACCTTTCCCCTGCTGGTTTAGAGGGCTTTCCTTTGATCAAACGGATTGACCGCCGTCTTTCCGTGATCGACGAGGGTTCCCTCCTTCTTCATTGCCTCTCCGGGGCGACTTTAGACCCTTTTAGGGCCCCTGGCAGGGAGAAATCAGCCGTGGGAAGCGGAGCCCTGCTTTTCCCTCATCTGTGATGCCACGATGCAAACCGGAAGTAAAAGTAACCAGTTCTTATAGTTTAATTATCAGTGTGAAGTAAATAAAGTACAATAGCTGAATAGTGGAGTGGTAGTTATAATTCTCTTATAAATTGTCATTTATTGTGGCCACAGTGCCCTTTCAAAGCATGTGATCATTTTGCATATATACAAAGCTTGCAAAAAAAGACTTAAATTTTTAGGTAGTTCTTACAGCAACAACCAATATGGTTATGAACAGTTAAAATGTCTCTTTTTAAACATATATACTCTAAATTGCATGGCCTTTTTTTTTTGTTCTGCTCTTCTAGCTGGGAGTCCCTGGCATTCTTCAGGATATAGTCCATATAACAACAGCATCTACCTATCTGGATCGCATCCTATAGGCAACTATCAAGGTGGAAGAGGGATCCAGATGCCCAGAACTTCTAGACTGAAAGATAGTGAACATCATCCTTCAGAAGATGACAGCGATTATATTGAACTGCTGCAGCATGGTATGGCTGGGGAGATAAGCAAAAACTATTTTTTCTCTGTTTGGGAAGCATCCAGAATTCAGCTTTCATTGTTGAGATTTCTAAAGGTAAAGGTAAAATCATGTCCGACTTTAGGAGGCAATGCTCATCTCCATTAGTTGTGCGGCACTCGTGTCTTGAACCTGGGCTGCCAGCTTAATTTTTTTAAATGGTCCAGACTCTTTCTGAAATGTTTGAATTTCAGAATGATGTGCAAATAAACAAGATCTTCAGAATCTCAAGAGCAGTCCAACGTTGTAAAATCTAACTTTTGTATTCTGAGTTACTGAAATATATATATATATAGTTCACATACCAAGCATGAATACATTTATCTGTACCAAACAGTTGCTACTTATGAGAAATAAGCGCTGTTGTTAGAAAGTGCTTTTCAAGGTGATAAGTCATTTTCACAAGACTGTCCCCTTTGCTTTTTAAACAAGTACTAGAGAATTTGCTCATAAACCAGAGGAGAGTGGTCAACGTGGAAGCTTTCTTTTTCTCTTATCTGATTCAAAATGTTTGTGACTTATATTTAGAAGTATATTAGTTTTTTCCCCTGTAAAAATAATTAATGTTTTTGGGGTAACATGTCTTGCTTTTCTGTCAGAGACCAGTCCAGGGGTAGGCAACCTTGGCTCTTTTATGACGCGTGGACTTCAACTCCCAGAATTCCTGAGCCAGCCATGTTGAGGGGAAAGGGAGAGGTTTCCAAGCTGAGCCATGCTGGCTCAGGAATTCTGGGAGTTGAAGTCCACGAGTCATAAAAGAGCCAAGGTTGCCTACCCCTGGTATAGGTAGTCCTTGACTTAACGACCACAACTGAGCCCAGAATTACAGTTGTAAGTTGTGCCAGTCCTTTAAGCAGGTCAGCACATGACTGTGCGATGGTCATTAACTGAATGCTGCAATCATTAAGCAAATCCATTATCCACAGTGAATGTTTTTTTGCCAGAAACCAGAAGTAAATGCTGATTTCTGGTAAAAAAAAAAAAAAGTCGTAAATTCCAGTCATGTGACCACAGGATGCTGCAGATGGACATAAATGAAGGCTGGTTGCTGAGTGCCCAACATGTGATCATGAGACCTTGGGGGGGTGCAATCAACTTTAAATCCAGGTTATAAATATCTCTAGAGAGGCCCATTGTAACTTTGAATAGTCACTAAGTGACTGGTTGTAAGTCGAAGACTACCTGTACCGACTGCAACTAACTGGAAACTAGTAGAATAGCCCTTGCTTTTGTGTTGGCAACACCAGCCGAACTGTAGATAACTAAAGTACTCAGATCTCCTGGCAAGTCCATGCTGCTGCCATAGCCAACTCATCTAGGATCAGGTATTTACAGTAGTGGCCAAAATTGTGGAAACCTTTTGGGAAAAGTGTACAATAGAAATGCCACCTTTGGTTAAGTTTCCACCCATTTTTCTTCTAATTTATTTATAACTGTAGCCTTGTTCACTTAATAATACTATTTTACATCGCTTTCTGGGCAACCAGTCAACTCTTTGCACCATGACTTTAATTTTATTACGTTTTACAAGCTCACTAAATGAAAGAACACAAAAAAACCCCAACCAACTTGATAGCGATCATATAACACCCTGACAAATATCCTCCTCTCAGCTTCAATACAGGACACCAATCACTGAATCCTACTGTGATCTGATTGGCTCATTGCCAAAACAAGGTGACACCTGATTGGCTCTCTAAACACTCGTGCTCATTGGCTACAATCGGATGAAGGAAAGCTACCTGAGATCAACCTAAGCAAGTTGTGCTTCCTTTTTCTGGTTATTTGGCTATAACTTTTCATAGAATACAGTACAGATAATTGAACAAACTATGTTGCATTACATTCGTGATTAAATTATCTTTCCATTGATATATAATTTTATGGTACTACTCCCCCCAAAAGGGGTGTTATTAGCCATCAAACCTCAAAAATACACTTTTCCCAAAAGGTTTCCACAATTTTGGCCGCTACTGTAGAAGTAGACTTTGATCAAAGTAATTCACCAGTATTGCTTACTTTGAAGAACAGGCACACTGAGATCTTTCCCATTACATACTATCAGCATAAAAATAGTTGTTGGACTGCGGTAAATGGGATATCATTCTCTTTCTAAGAAAAAAAGGCATAGGAAGATGGGAGTTGTATAAGCAGAAAACGTTTGTGCTTGCACTGCTTGTTTTGATGGTCTGCTTTTCCCCATCTTACCTAGCTCAGGAATGCAGTTCCTGGATGCTCATGGTAGCTCGGCGCAGTGCCCAGGCACTTTTGGATTATGCAGTTACTGCTGACCCACGTATGTTGTTGGCTGTCCAAAGACACCTGGCTGCTTCTCAGGATGAAAATGGAGATTCGTGAGTATATTTTGGGAACAATCAGGGCTCCTAGTCTGAGATCATTTGCAGAGAATTAGTCTTCCAATTTCTTGTCACTGTTTAGTATTTTCCTTGTTGTGGGGATACCCTTTCAGTGCAAATTTATGTCAGCTCTGCTAAAGGCAAGGCTGTGCCTTAACTAAAGAACCTTATATGGAAAAGAATTCTGTAATCCCTGATTTCAGCAAACCTTGTCACTAGCAAGATAGTTTTTCCTTCTTCTGAAATATGTGACATCATGCTTAAGTTGGTGAAACTATGGCCTCTCCAATGACAGCCCTATATATCAAAAAGGGTAGATGAGGAACTGGGGGTGGTGTTGTTGTTGTTAATTGTGAATTCGTGTCCGACCCATCGCGACCCCATGGACAACGTTCCTCCAGGTCTTCCTGTCCTCTACCATCTTCTGGAGTCCATTTAAGTTCACACCTACTGCTTCAGTGACTCCATCCAGCCACCTCATTCTCTGTCGTCCCCTTCTTCTATTGCCCTCAATCTTTCTCAGCATTAGGCTCTTCTCCAGTGAGTCCTTCCTTCTCATGAGGTGGCCAAAGTACTTGAATTTCAACTTCAGGATCTGGCCTTCTAAAGAGCTTAAGTTGGTGAAACTATGGCCTCTCCAATGACAGCCCTATATATCAAAAAGGGTAGATGAGGAACTGGGGGACCTACTATTAAAGATGATGAATGAAATTAAACCAAGAAAAACAACGCCAAAGACATAGGAAAAGGCACATATAACATTAATACACAAAAGAGGGAAGGACCTGAAAGAACCTTAATTAATTACATGAATATCCTTATGAATGTTGATCATAAGATATTTAGACCCTCTTTAATCTCTGCTTTGCCAGCATGTCTTGGGCCAGAACAGTGTGGGAAGGTATTTTAAAAGATTGCCAAACAATAATGACTTAATAGCCAGCTCTCAATACCCTAATTAACAACTAAAAGCTACACACAAGTAGGAATGATATAAATACAATATATAAAACAGCCCAGTGCACGTATTTTGGAGAGAGAGAACTTCCCTGAGGATGGGCACCAGTCTGAAAGCTTGGAAGAATAAAACTTTGCTCTTTTATGACTCGTGGACTTCAACTCCCAGAATTCCTGAGCCAGCAGGACTCAGCTTGGAAACCTCTCCCTTTCCCCTCAGCATGGCTGGCTCAGGAATTCTGGGAGTTGAAGTCCATGAGTCATAAAAGAGCCAAGGTGGCCTACCCCTGGGCTAGGGGAAAAAAGAAATAGAGGTTTCTGGAATGGCCAAATCATGGAATGGGTTGCAATTCTCATTTCTGTTGTTGACTAGTATTACTGTTGCAATTAGCCACTACATCTCCTTGTTCTTAAATCCATATTTTCCCCCCACAGGCCTTTGCACTTAGCTATTATTCATGAGCAGACTGCTGTGATTATGCAACTGGTCCAGGTGGCTGTAAGCATTCCTAATCAACAGATCATCAACATCACAAATCACTTACAGCAGGTATAATAGGTAGTGTCTCAAATTCAGTGGTAACCCATTTGTGGGGAGAGAAGGATGTGCATGCACATAGGGGAGATCTGATCAGGAGGTGCAGTTGAATTCACTCGAACACACCATGTTTTCTCCAAAATAAGACTGGTTTTATATTTTTTTGGGGGGGGGACCAAAAGACCCATTAGGGCCTTTGGGGGGATGTCTTATTTTGCAGCAGCCGCCCACTCCATCCCACTATCTGGTTGCTTGCCTAATATAAGCCCTACCCCAAAATTAAGCCCTAATTAAGAACCCGTCCACTCCGTCCCACTGTTTGGTTACTTACTGCCGCAATGGGACAGGACATGTAGTAACAAGATTGTTAAGAACATCTCGCTTCCCCATTGACTTTGCTTGTCAGAAGGTCACAAAAGGTGATCACATGAGCCCGGGACACTGCAACTGTCATGAGCCAGTTGTCCAGCATACGAATTTTGATCATGGTTACCATGGGGATGCTGCAATGGTTGTTGTGTGTGAAAAATGGTCATATGTCACTTTTTTCAGTGCCGTTGTTATTTTGAACCGTCTCTGAATGAACTGTTCTAAGGCAAGGACTACCTGTAAAGCTCTGTCATTTGATTTCTGGATTGTGCATATAGGTAAATGTGTTGTTGAAAATATAAATGCAAGTAGACATTCTCTTTGGAGAAAATCTATTGATCCCGTTAGCTCTTTTGATGGAACTTGGTTCTCACCTGTTTTCCCTAGACACCGTTACATCTGGCTGTGATCACCCATCAGCCCAGAGTGGCTGCTTTCTTACTTCAGGCTGGAGCAGATCCCACTTTACTGGATCGATACGGCAACTCAGTCGTGCATTTGGCTGTACATTTGGATGACGAAGTGATGCTGAAGATTCTTCTCTGTCATTTGGACCCCCAGATTCTCCCACTTCTTGAGATACCTAACTATCTTGGTGAGTCATATGGGGAAATTGTAAGAAACCCGAGTCTTTTGTCACAGGACCATTGAAATCAAATTGGATGTTGAAGGAGGGGTGGCTGTGAGAGGCAGGACTGAGGAAGAGGAGGTGAGAATATTATTTTTATTAAAAGTTTTATAAAGATTACAATATTTTTTCCCCCTCCCACCCCCAAACCCCCCCTCTCCCCCACTTCCCAGAGCTATTCACAGGGTTAACAAATAATAATCATAATCTAAATAACATTAACCAACTATTAAATTACCAAATCTATAAAGCACTTTAACTCCCTTTTTAGATAAATTTAAGTAAATTAAAGTTAAACACAATAATGAACAAATAATAATATCATAATAATAATTAAAAATAACAGAAAGAATAAACTATTATAAAATATTAACAATAATAATACTCTAAAATTTACTCAAAAACCAAATGGAACTTTTTAGTCCCATATTTATTCTGGATATAATTTATCCATCTTCTCCAAACCAAAATATATCTTTCTTGTGAATGGTCCTTCACATAAGCGGAAATCTTGGCCATTTCTGCTAAATTTGAGACTTTAAGCAACCATTCTTCTATAGTAGGCAAACGATCCGTCTTCCAATATTGAGCTACTAATAGTCTTGCAGCTGTTATAAGATTCAACATCAAATTCGTTTCTTTAACATCCAAATCTTCCATAATACCTAACAAAAATATCTGCGGTGTAAACTTTATCTTTTTCTTAAAAACATTTTGAATATTCCACCAAATTTTAATCCAAAATGCTTTTATTTCCCTACATGTCCACCAAATATGAAAATAAGTTGCATCTAAATTTCCACATCTCCAACACTTGGGTTGTAAATTAGAATACATGCACGACAATTTTTGAGGATCCAAATGCCATCTATAAAACATTTTATAAAAATTTTCTCTTAAATTTTGAGCTTGAGTAAATTTCACATTTCTAACCCAAATTGTTTCCCATGNCCCATTTGGGGTCGATCGACCATTTCATGGGGGTCGCCAAGCAAGGCTGTCCGCCATTTTTTTGTCCGCCATTTTTTTTGTCCGCCATTTTTTCCCCCTTTTCCGGCGGGTGCCTTACCTCCCTTGGGCTGGGCCAGCTGGTGGTCGGCCTGCTCCGTCTCTGCCGCTTGCCAGCTACGCCTCGGCCGGCGCAGGGGGCGGAACCACGCATACGCGGCGCTCCCGGGCAGGGAAAGTCCTTGACTTACGACCGGTTGGGTAGTCCTTGACTTACGGCCGGTTTAGTCCTCGACTTACGGCCGGTTTAGTCCTCGACTTACGACCGGTTTAGTCCTCGACTTACGACCGGTTTAGTCCTCGACTTACGATCGGTTTAGTCCTCGACTTACGACCGGTTGGGGTCGCTTTAAAAAGGTTGAGAATCACTGCTTTAACCAATTCCGTTTCCGAATCCAATTCTATCAAAGCATCATAAATTCTCTTTATATGGGCTCGCCTTTATAAATGTGGAGAATATTATTAAATCCTTTATCATACTTGATGCTTCTGCCCTAGTTTGGGCTTGTAGGACGAGCTTCCCAGTCCTGCTGCCAGTCATTATTCAATTATATTTACTGCTGTTGCTTCAGGTCTTTTTCCTGTGCATCTTGCGGTGAAGTACGCAAGACCCGCCTGTCTTGAGTTGCTAGTTGAGAAAGGAGCGAACGTGAATGCAGCAGAACGGCAGAGTGGACAGACACCTTTACATCTAGCTATTGAAATGGATAATCTTAACATGACTGCATGTTTGATGAAGAAGGTGAGTTGGAGGTGAGGCTACCGATACGGCACAAGTCTGCTCCGTTCTGCAGTAGATCTGTTCTGTTACCATACAGGAAGGTTACTATGAACAAATGATAAGTCCAGCTGGGAACAAGATAGATTTTTGTAGTTGCTAGTTTGTAATGCTGGACTGACATGGCAATTCTGGCAAATAGATGGGGAAGAAATGGAGGTAGTGACAGATTTTATCTTCCTGGGCTCCAAGATCACCACAGATGGGGACTGCAGCCAAGAAATTAAAAGACCCTTGCTCCTGGGGAGGAAAGCTATGGCAAATCTAGACAGCATACTAAAAAGCAGAGACATCACCCTGCCAACAAAAGTGCGTATAGTCAAGGACATGGTTTTCCCAGTTGCATTGTATGGCTGTGAAAGTTGGACCATAAAAAAGGCTGAGCGCCAAAGAATTGAGGCCTTTGAACTATGGTGCTGGAGAAGACTCCTGCGAGTCCCCTGGACTGCAAGGCGTTCAAACCGGTCAGTCCTAGAGGAGATCAACCCTGACTGCTCTTTAGAAGGCCAGATCCCGAAGTTGAAACTCAAGTACTTTGGCCACTTAATGAGAAGGAAGGACTCAGTGGAGAAGAGCCTAATGCTGGGAAAGATGGAGGGCAATAGAAGAAGGGGACGACAGAGAATGAGGTGGCTGGATGGAGTCCCTGAAGCAGTAGGCGTGAGCTTAAATGGACTCCAGAAGATGGTAGAGGACAGGAAGGCCTGGAGGAACATTGTCCATGGGATTGCGATGGGTCGGACACGACTTCGCAACTAACAACAACATCAATGCTGGAAAATTAGATCATGCAGTAGCAGAGTTTGCAGAGGGTTCCTTGACTCTTTATGTATCCTCCCAGACCATTTATAAGTAACTGTTTATAAATAGATAAATAAATAAACCATTCCCGTCCTGTTCATGTCAGGGGGACCATTTAAGGCGCTTCCGGGTTGAAAGGATTAGCCAGTGACATCACCCATTGCCCGGGGGTCACCAGGCAATGAATATTTGAATATTTGTTCATAACTGTGTCCTAAAAGATGATCTGTTTTTCACCCAAATCCTAAAACTAAAGTCATGCTGGTATTTTTAAGGATTTCTTCTTGGCAGCCTTTTGTGATGAGTGAAGCTGCCTCAGGGGAAGAAGCTATTGCATCTCTCTATTTCTTACAGCAGGAAGTGGAGAATTTACTCTCAATCTGCATATTCCATTCCAGTACATTTATTAGTTTAACATGTGTCCAAGGCATGTTCTATTATTAATATAGTTATTATTGCTTACATCATCAACATTTCTGTTGCGAAGAAAGAGAAGTTGATTTTTTTGTGTTTTGGGATAGTTTAATATCTTTCCTCCCATTGTTTGATTTTTTTTTCTTATGCACAGGAATAAAAAAAAATTACATTTTATCTGTATGGATAAAATACACACTCTGCTGTAGATAATCTAGTACAGTGATGGCGAACGTTTTAGAGACCGAGTACCCAAACTGCAACCCAAAACCCACTTATGTATTGTCGGGTGCTGGTTGGGCATGGCCCATTGGGTGGGCGTGGCCCATGTGGGCGTGGCTGCGACGGTAACGGCAGACTGGATGGGATTAAAAAGTTCAATTAATCAATTCCAACTTTACGAGATCTTTTTTTTTCCCCGCGAGAAGTTAAAATTGATTGAACCTTTTTTTTTTTTGCACACGGCGGTGGAGGCCTAAAGTGAAAAGGTTTTATAAAATCCAGCTGAAGGCCTAGCACAGGGGCGATGGTGCTCATAGAGGGCTCTGCGTGCCACCTGTGGCACGCGTGCCATAGGTTCTCCATGACGGATCTAGTAGGTGGCCTTGATGGAGAGGGATGAACTAACTAGAGCAAGGATCACATAAACATGGCTTATAGCCTACCAAGATATTTATGAAAATCAGGCACCTCCCTAATTCACATGAAGTTAAAAGAGATAGGAGGAGAAGCACATCCAGTTTTGGAAGGTCCTGTTACTATAGGTCAGGGGTGTCAAACTCAATTTCATTGAGGGCCGCATCAGCATTGCGGTTGCCCTTGGGGGGCGGGTGGGTGGGTGTGGCCTACTGGGTGGGCGTGGGTGGAGTGGGTGTGGCCTACTGGGTGGGCATGGCCAGCTCTACATCATTCGTGTCAAGGGTGCCTGTGGAGGCCTGGGCAGGAGTGGGACAGATCTGAGGGTCTCTGGCAGAAAGGGGTGGGACCAGGGCAGAGCCCATCAAGCCAGATATGTGAAGTAGGCGAGGGCCATTTGCTGGCCACTTCCAGGCGATGGTGCATTTCTTCATTCCTCACAAAGGGTGACACTTCCCCAGCATGCACCCAGGGGGTGGTTCCTCGCTGTTTCCAGATGGCCTTGTGGATCTAAGACTGAATGCAATTGTACACTGGCTCCTGGCCGGCCTGGGCCAGGGCCAAGGCAGTGGGGGCCGTTCCCTCACTGTTTACAGGATGGCTTCGCAGGCCACATGAAACCACTTCGCGGGCCGCATCCAGCCCCCGGGCCTTGTGTTTGACATGTCTGCTATAGGTGTTCTAATAAAAGTAGCGGTACATAGTATTTGTTTCTTGATCCTTGTAGAGCTGATGCCAATAAAGTCTAAAAGCTATATACATGCAGATGATAAAATGATTAATAAAAAGGTTTTTTTAAACACCGGGGGAGGTTTAAATAGAAAAGTGCTTCCATTTTGCCCTCCTGATTCCATCCCTTTCATAAAACATTTATTCAGTTCTGACCTAAGATTGTTTATCAATTTGATTGGCTTGCTGCTTGCTGAAGATTCTGTTAATGAAGATGGAAACTAATATAGAGAACAAATGTTTGAAATTTATTAAGTTATAATAATATAATAGGCATCATTGGCCTTACAGTAGATTTCTTAGTTGTAACATTTGTATTAAAGTATTTATTATACTTACGAAGTTTCTGGGAAGGATTATTTTGACTTCATTCACTATTGCAATTATTAAAAAGAGATAAAGGATGGAAACTAATCAAGGAGAGAAGTAACCTAGAACTAAGGAGAAACTTCCTGACAGTTAGAACAATTAACCAGTGGAACAACCTGCCTCCAGAAGCGGTGAATGCTCCAACACTGGAAGTTTTTAAGAAGAGGCTGGACAGCCATTTGTCCGAAATGGTATAGGGTTTCCTGCCTGAGCAGGGGGTTTGGACTAGATGACCTCCAAGGTCCCTTCCAACATCATCATCATCATCGTTGTTGTTGTTAAGATGAATAAGCTGGCATCTATGAGATAAGCTATTATTTATTAATTAGCATAGCTTTTCCCCATCTGCTGTTCTCTAGTTAGGTTGTATTAGTGATTGTTATTGCTGGCTGGAGATAAGTGAAATCTGAAATCCTATTGGGAAATGGTAGACACTCTGAAAGTAGAAACTGTATATACAAGACATAGGTTTTCAAGACATAGGTCCTATAGGCTGTATCTGCTTTGAATCTTGGAATCTAAATCCTTTTGCATAGATACAAAAGTTTGTCTTTTATCTTCCACTCACTCTGTATCATTTTTTTTCCCCCAAGCTGGGAGCTGATGTAAATGCTCGGACATCTGCTGGGAATACACCCCTTCATTTGGCAGCAGCGTTGGGTTCTCCAATTCTTACAAGGATGCTAATCAGTGCAGGTAACGCATTTCTTCAATACACCTTGAGCAATTTAGCTTCCTCTGAGAAAGGGTGGGCGTGTTTGGAGAGAAAGGGATGGGCGCACCTCTTCTTCGGCTTTCTGCTTTGCTGTGTTAAACAGTATTCGCGTTTTGGAAATAAGAATTACCGACCTTTTAAATTTCATGTCCTGATACTTTTGTTTCTTACTATGAGTTTCCAACTTAACCACATCAATCTCCTCTCTTAAACACCCACTTTATAGTTTATTTTAATTGTATTGTCATAAAACGTGTTGAAATATAAATGAAAGACACGGTAATAGTGCTCTCTTGATAGTTAACGGCTGCTGTATTTCACAACATTTAGAGGAAATCATCTATCTCTGGTGTAGGATATACTACACCAGAAGTTATGACTATTGCAGTACCCCTGTGGTGACATGATAAAAGTTTGGGCTCTTAGCAATCCACCCACCAGAGGTGCTGCAGCTGCCTCCACCCACTTATTTATCTCTCCCTCCATCTCAGCCACTTATCCATCTCACCAGTGCACCTAACACTGCCTGCTCCTTTCCCACGAGACTCAGGAGGCCTGGGCCTGCCCCCCCTCCCCCCCACTACCAGGCCTGGGAGCCTTGGCCAGTGACAGGGCCCACCAGCATATGTAAATTGTCCCACTCACTTGCAGTGTTTCTGCAGTTGTTAACAGGCATGCCCAACCAACACAAGAAAATGGCCTTCCTACCGAGGCTGTCTTATACCATATGTCAGCAGGAGAGCTCATTTCTTGGGACCATTCAGAAGACTCGAGAATGGCGCCCGGTCTCTCGGTGCTTTGGAAGCCTCCTTCTGAGAAGAAGACGCTTCCAAAGCACCGTGAGAGTAGGCACCATTCTTGTGATGATTCAAAAGCCTTCTGACATGTTGTTGCAGGAAGCAGGCCTGAGTCTCCCAGGGTGTGGCAAGTTGCCACACGTTAGTGGCCTGCATGGGGCCTTCCATGGCCTTCCCCATCCCCCTGAGGCACCCCTGACCACCGCCTAAGGATCTGCCTGATCACTTAAGAACCACAACCAGGACTGCCGAGATTGCGGTCATTGAAGTGGTTAGGTGGACATCTCACTTCATAATCATTTTGTTCAGTGATTTGAGATTCTATTCCCAGTTGTGGTCATAAGTCAAGGATTACCTATATTTCCCATCTAACGGGTGTTCTCATCCTCCAGTGTAACGTTCCCCAACCTTTGTGGCTTGGAGGTGGCCGGGGTGGGTGAGAGGATGGGTCTGTGTGAGCAGCAGGTGCGCACGCAGCTCCATTTGTGCTCACCTGCCGATTGCGCAGCCGAGTTTCAAAAGGGCAGTGGCCCAGTAGTGGGCTGCGTGCCGGGAATTGGGAACCCCTGCTCCAATGGATTGTTTGAAGACTGTCTGAATTGGGAGAGGGGAATCCTGCTTCAGGAGGATTATATGTTTTTGGGTCTACGTACTATACTCTCTTGTATGCTAGGATTTGTTTCTCCCTTTCCTATTTTTGCCAAGTAGATTGGAGCGGTGAAGTGTTGTCTTCTCTGCCACCTGTTCGTTTTTTTCAATCCAGCTTGTTTAGTTGTGTTTATAATTTTTGAGTCTGTTACAGAATTATATTTTGAACTCACCTTTTCCTTTGGTTGTTATTTAAACTTCCTTGAAATAGAATGAATAGCTTATTCCACACCTATCCCGCTGTGCATTCAATTTCAAATGCGCCTTGCGGACTGTATTGGTTATAGTAATACTAAAAACAATTCATTAAATTTATATGCCCCTCGATTCCAAGCAACTCTGGGTGTTTAACAATTCTATACTTGATGCCTCAATAAATTTGTGCTACATAAACCCTTGATGGGATATGTGATACCCCCAAAAAATATATGGACTATTGATTCTTTTTTGAAACGAAGATGGAATTAAGAATGTATTCTAGACATGGGAGATAAGAAAAATGGTTTCATCAACATTGACAGCGTTGACCTTTTGAATGATAACCCCCATAGCTGAGGTTTGTCATAATTAGATCTTTCTTCTAGAGCCGGGGGGTAGGCAACCTTGGCTCTTTGATGACTCGTGGACTTCAACTCCCAGAATTTCTGAGCCAGCATGGCTCAGCATGGAAACCGTTCCCTTTCCCCTCAGCATGGCTGGCTCAGGAATTCTGGGAGCTGAAGTCCACGAGTCATAAAAGAGCCGAGGTGGCCTACCCCTGCTCTAGAGTTTTGCTAAAAAGCATGTAAATTATTCACAATTTTTGCTCCATTTTAGCAACGTTCTGACCGACTCTGTATTTCCTTTCCCAGGAGCAGATGTTTTATGCGAAAACGATGAGCCCGTTTCAGACCCCTCATCTCCACCCAGCAGTGACATTGAGCTGGAGGAAGAGGAATGGGTCACAGAACTGGAAGAGACTTACGCTGACTTGACGGAGCAAGGCCTGGATTATATTTCTGTGCTGGAGAGCGAGCAGTCCAAAACGAATCAGGGTCGGGGACACACCCCATTTGATTTGGCTTGTAGCCAGAAGGTAGGTAATGGCTGAAGTTGTTCAGCTGATTGTTGGAGCAGTGAAGGAATTCAGTTACTACTCACATCTGTTAAGAACTTCTGATTGATCTCCCTGTGGTTTTTACATCACATTTATGGGAAATGGGCCTATGTACTGCTGCGGTTCCCCGGTGGAAAATGGTCTCCTTTTAAAAGTGTTATCTTATTAAAAGGTAATCTAGTAGAAATATTTCAGATCCAGTTTCTTTCTTTGTAGGTAAGAGAAATACTACTACAAGCTTCAAAACAGGATGCTGGAAAGAAGCAGGGTGCATCTAAGCAAGGTGGGTAAATCTGGCAGACTCCCACTACAAACTAATCAACTTGCCTGACTTGATACGTGCCAAGTCATTTGGGGTACCTACTTGCTTCTGACTATGGAGCGGGCACAGTGCTATTTTGGATATATCCTCCTGCATAGAAACGCAGGGTACATCTAGCAGTATTTTTTTATTTTTTGGCATATAAATAACACTCATTCTCCACCGCCAATCTTTCTTCATATCAGGGAGCATCCTACTTTTGAATAACGATGTTCTTCAGAGGCTAGAGAAGCTCTTAAACCAGGGCTGCCAAGGGGCAAATTGGACAGAACTGGCCAAGAAATTAGGTCTCTGCAGTTTAGTGGAGATGTACAAAGACACCATTTCCCCCAGCCGAAAACTCCTGCTCAGCTACGAGGTCAGTCATCCTTCTCTCACCTATTCCCACTGTCATCCCATTCTCGAGTTGCCCTTTTAATTCCTGATTTTCCTCAGATTGCTGGCGGCAGTCTCGAAGGTCTGTTGGAAGCCCTTGGCTCTATGGGACTGACAGAAGGCGTGAGGTTACTACAGAGATTAGAGACCTTTGACAAGCTGCAAAGTGCAGGTAATAACACCCAGTTACGAGTAAGGCTGCAAAGTGAAGGGGGAAAGTAAAAGATGGTGATTACCTTTTCTCTCTGCCTCAGAGCTGAAGGAAGACAGCGCTTACGGTAGTCAATCCGTGGAAGCGGAACCAGCAGCTTTATCTGGGAAACTGCAACCTGCCCCGTTGCTGGAGCCACCTTCTCCCTTGCCTCACAGCCAGCAGGAGCAAGTGCACTGACGCTAGATGAACATCCGGAGAAAATGAGTATTCATTTCTTAAGCATGGGCCTCTCCAGGGTCCAGGATGCTGTCATCAGTGAGAATCGCTATCCAGTCTGGGTCATTCCCATTTTTTCTTAGCCAGTCTGCGGCCTATATTAGCCAAAGCTCCGTAAATGTGGAGAAATCTGGTTACATAGTCCAATATCTTTTATCAAGCTCTGATCCAGGCCTGCTTACATTCTAGAATGTTTTAACTATGGTTCCACTCACCATGTAGTGAGGGTTGGTTTGACAATGAAAGCAGCCTGTGGGGCAAAATTGGATTTCAGTGACCCAAGCAGATTATTATGAATTAGTTTAACCGTTCTCTTGACTACACTTTTAATAACTATCAGCACGCGCCACTTGTTCATGAGAATGCTTTTATCAATAATCAGTTTCCATACCCCCCTGCCCAGTTTTTTGATCCCAGATAACTGCTTCCTTTTATATTCCTTATTCAAAGAAGTCTTCTATTGCAGAATGCGTTCGATGAGGGAATAACTTAGTTTACTGTTCGTTGATGATTCAGGCTGCCCTGAGTTGTGTGCCAAGTAGGTGACTATATAAATTGATTACATAAAATAAACCTGTTTTTTACAGCATTCCAATGATGCTAATTCCCTCAGTAACTAAGTAACTATCCTTGCTAATAGAAGCTCAAGAGTTTGAAATGACTTATTTTTAATTTTAAATCTCTTCTGGTATATGAATCTCCTTTGTTCAGAAAATTATAAATTTCATGACCAGGAAAAAGTGCAAAATGGCTTAAAAATCTCTTTATTTTGTTGCTCAATGAAGTTTTCTTTAGCAGTGTTTTGATCTGGGAAAGGAAAAGGTACAGAGAGCAAAACATTGCAGCAATAACAACATTCTGCCAGAATGAATTGTTTTAACATTTAAAAAGTTTCTCAAGTCAAAAGTATGGTTATGTATTGATGTAGAGCTGCAAAAATTCTGCCTTTAAAATGTGGCTGAAATGAACATAAGATTGTAGGATAGTGAAGCTGAATGCCAGTTTCTTGTATTAATAACAATGTGTGACTAAAAGTAATTAACATGTAAAGTCAGATTACTTTTGTAAAGATGTATGGAAATAATTGTTCATTACTTTGCATGCAGAATCAGAGATTTCCTGTGCTGAATAAAATTTTTCTACCTCTCTTGCTTAATGTATTTTTTCACCCTTTACCAAAATACTTTAGCCCGGCTCTAACATAGAAAATTCCTTTTCCCCACCTTAGTTTTAACTATATTGTTTCAGTGGGCGGTAGTCTACCAGTAGTTTATTACCTTCCTTTACCTTTATTCCTTGTAAAGTAATTATAAATCTTTTTTAAAAGAAGCATCTCTTCATTTTCTCTTTAGTGATTTTTTTTCTTCCAATCTATAAATCAAATCTTTATTTGGCTATAGAGCAGAAATCACAATTAATTAAAATAGAAAAGTGTGTGTATGTGTGTATATACACACATAGTACTGTGCAAAAATGCTGTAAATTAAGGATGCTTTCAGAAATAGAAGCGTTAATAGTTTATTTTTACCAATTAACAAAACGGAAAATAAATGAACAGAAGAGAAATCCAAATCAAATCAAAATTGCCTTCAAAAATTTTCAGCATCCATTTTCCTAGTGACACTTTCAGAGTTTTTGAAGGAACTCGGCAAGGTTCTTTCAAGATTGTTCCAAATATCTTGGGAAACTAACCACAGATCTTATGTGTATATAGATAGGCTGTCTCAAATTCTTCGATGTCTTCATGTAATCCTAAACAGACTTGATGATGTTGAGATCAGGACTCTGTGGGCCAAACCATCACTTCCAGGACTTCTTGTTCTTTACACTGAAGATAGTTCTTAATGACATTGGCAGTATGTTTGGAGCTGTTGTCCTGCTGCAGAATAAATTTGGGGCCAATCACACAACTCCCTGATGGATAAGTGTCTGCATATATTTCTCAGCATGGAGGACACCATTGATCCTGATCAAGAGGGAGTCAAGCTATTCTCCAAAGCACTTGAAGGCAGGAGAAAAAGCAACGGATGGAAACTAATCAAAGAGAGAAGCAGCCTAGAACTAAGGAGAAATTTCCTGACAGAATAATTAATCAATGGAACAACCTGCCTCCAGAAGTTGTGAATGCTCCAACATTGGAAGTTTATAAGAAGAGACTGGACAGCCCTTTTGTCTGAAATGGTATAGGGTTTCCTGCCTGAGCAGGGCATTGGACTAGATGACCTCCAATTATTATTATTATTATTATTATTACTATCATCATCATCATCTTTTATTCATTAGACATGAACCTCAGTGAACTGAACATTCAGATTGACTGGCACTGATGGTTGACACGGGTTGCTACCAGCATCCTAGGTGTCAACCAGATACCTCCTTAAAATGTAAGATGTTCCGAGTAACGCAGTTTTTTGTAACATTGCTGGAGTTATTGCAGGAAGCTGCAGTTTCTTGATGTATTTTGCAAAGTTTTGGGACATAGTTCCCAGTGCCCTGATGACAATGGGTATCACTGTTACACGTTTCATCCATAATTGCACAGTTTCGCTGGCCAGGTCGCGATATTTCGTAATTTTTTCCAGTTCTTTTTCTTCGACTCTGGCATCTCCTGGTACAGCGATATCAATCAGCTGTACACTTCGGTTCTCTACAACTGCAATATCTGGTGTCTTCTGTTCCAAATGGCGATCTGTCTGTATTTGAAAGTTTGCCATTATTATTATTATTATTATTATTATTATTATTATTATTATTATTATTATTATTATTATTATTATTATTATTATTATTATTATTTATCACCATCATCATCATCCTCCAACTCCATTTGCAGAAATGCAGCCCCAAACCTGCAGCCCCTTCCCTTTCTTTGAAGGGAATTTTTTTGTAACTTCTTTCGGTAACAGCTGTTGGAAGGGCATTGAATCTGGCTAAAGAGAAGGCCCTTCTGAATTTGGGATCGTGTGACTGAGATATCTGACTAGTTGGAGAGGGTGTGCAGAGTGGCTCAAGATGGTGTTTCTTCAGCTACTTTGGCTGAGAAGTTGGCTTGCATCTGTAAACGGTCTGCTGTCTAAGATCAGAGCACATTCGTAGTCCATCAAGTTGATGGCCATGAATAGCCATAGAGCTGCAATTCGGCTTGTATTATCTGGACTACAGGAGCACTGGAAGTTGTTAATCTTCATTAGAGAGGTCAAGCCAACTGGAAAGAAAAAGATCTTAAGCCGGTGGGAGAAGTGAATCCAGGCAGATGTTTCAGTTTTGAGAATGACTATATTCCAAACGCAGGGAGATGCTTGGAAGATGGTTCTTAGAAATTTGGACTGAACTCTTTCCAAGAGAAGGAATGACTTGTAGGGGCCCAACTGAGCTCCAAAAAGGAGCTGTGCTTGAGTATTAGCTGAGAAGACTTTAATTGCTGCAGGTATATCCTTTAGAAAAGGATTGTAAAAAACCAGCACTGGTTTTTGTCATTTAATATGACATAGTAAGCTTTGAGATTTGCATTTACCTATGTAGCATGGAGACTGTAGATGGGAAGACAATCCCCCAGTTAAAGACTTGCTCTATTAGGTGGTTGTCTTGGATAGTTGGTGAAAAATCAGATCATTTAAACACATAAGCTGCTTTATGTATTGCCACTAGAGTTTATCTTAAGTCACCCAATCTTTGGCTATCAGCTTGTTGTGAATCTGCCAAGGTACTGAAAGAGTTGGACAGATTTCCCCCCCCTAGACGGTTATTTGTGCAGTGTATTGTAGAAAGAGCAGACTTTGCACCTGCACAGTCATCTCTCCATGGCTGTGTTAATAATGTGTCCTGAAGGTTATCTAAGATGGTCATGTTTATTCTTTAAAATGGCAATAGTCTCAGCCAGATTGGCTTAGGAGCAGTCAGAGTTTATCTGAGCAAAATACACACTTTAGAAAGATTGAAAAGGTGTGAAGGCCTCATTTTGAACAACATACTGAGAATTGTGGGGTGTCTAAATGTGAGTATAATTTGATCTTGACCTCTGCTAGATGGAAGCCACTCAGCCTGCTATAACTCAATCAGCTGCTCCTTGCAGTGTAGTAACTGGCTTAGAGATAAGAAAATTGTTCTTTTTGCAACTAATCCAAACAACAATGATCTCAAACCACGAGGAAATTAAAAATAACTTTGAAAATATAAATGAACACATCTCCAATTTAACTTTACAACACAAAAATTCTCAGAAAATAAAAACAGAGTAAGCAGAAAAAAACAGACAACTGAATACGAGACAGAGGAGAGAGGTTTTAAGATGGAACTTAACAATAGAAGAAAGTATGACTTAACTCAAATGGGAAAAAAATTACAGGAAATATTGGACATGGAAAAGGTAACCTATATCCTAAGATTACAAAATAAGTTTGAGAGTAAGAAAAAAGATTTGACAAAATGGATTCTGCCAGAACTACGAGAACTTGAGAGACAAAAAATGATAAATAAAATCAAGAAAGAAAGAAAGGAAAAGATTCTCAATGAATATGAAGGGGCAAAACCTTCCTACAAAAACATCTTACCTGTTTTGCTTTTTGTACCTGCAACAACACTTTTAAGATTATGGAAAGATTCTTTGATTCAGCAAAGCATATTGATCAGGAAAGTTGTTTGGCAAAAAAAAAAAAAGGCTAAAATGAGAATTAAGAAATTAGACGATGGGATTTACCAGAGGGAATATTTAAAAATTAAACATCTGTTTGAATATAGTTAAAGAAATAGAAAGATTTTGGATATAAATGAAGATTAGTTTAAGAGGGATGAACTGCTCAAGTAATGTAGTATTTTTTCCTTGTGTTTTGTTTTTTGACATGAGAAATATAAAAATGTTGGGATGGTTTATATAAAAATGTTTTTCCTGTTTTTTTTTAAGATATGAGAAATGTAAAAGTGTTGGGATGGCTTGTATGAGAAAAAAAGACTTAAATACTTAAATACGTAACTAATTTTGAGAAAATCTTAACCAGTAAGAATGCTTTGAATATTATGGGGAAAACAAATTTAAATAAGAATTCTGTAAACAGGATCTATGACCAGGCAATTAGAAAAGAAGCTTTATATCAGTGTTTCTCAACCTTGACAACTTTAAGGCATGTGGACTTCAACTCCCAGAATTCCACAGCCAGCATTGCTGGCTATGGAATTCTGGAAGTTGAAGTCCACATGCCTTAAAATTGTCAAGGTTGAGAAACACTGCTTTATATTGATGTGGTTATTATTTGCAGAAACATGAGAAAAGTGGCTATATTGAATTGTCATTCAAATAATAAGAACTGTATTAATTTAAGTCTGGCAAAAGAGAATATTATTGGAAGAAGAGAAAATCAAGCAAAGCCATTATATGGACTGTAGAGTTATAGAAATTGTTATTGTTGTTTTAAATACTAACCCAGACAACATGCTGTTTACCAAATATTAAAGTGATTATGTTAAAAATAAATAAAACATATTTTTTTAAAAAAGTAAGTTCTTTTTATTCCTGTTGACTCCTGCTTATTCTGTTATTTAGTATTTCTAAGGTGATTTGTTTGGACTGAAAAGAATATTTATGATTTGAAAGTCTCTTTCTCTCTCCCCCTTGGTTATATACCCACTAGAAACTTATTTCTCACCCTTTTCCATGAAGGTGGGCAGCGAATAGACTAGATTAGACTAGACTAGACTAGGAACTGGAAGGGACCTTGGAGGTCTTCTAGTCCAGCCACCCGCTCAAGCAGGAGAACCTGTACCACCTCAAGACAAGTGACTGTCCACTCTCTTATTAAAAACCTCCAGTGATGGAGCACCCATGATTTCTGAAGGCAAGCTGTTCCACTGGTTAATTTTCCTCACTGTTAGGAAGTTTCTCCTTAATTCCAGGTTGCTTCTCTCTTTGATCAGCTTCCAACCATTGTTTCTAGTTTGTCTTTTGCAATAGATTTTTTGGTATGTTGGGCTATAATTTCTTTTTGTGTGAAGACTGATGCAAAGAATGAGTTAAGCAGCTCTGCTTTCTCCCTATTACTTTCTTGCCATCGTCTCTCTTTAGTGGACCTACAGTTTCCTTGACTTTTTTCTTGTTGAAAGAAACTTTTTTTATTGTCCTTGATTTCTGTTGCAAGTCTTTCTTTATTTTGAGCC